GTATTGTGTTTTTACCATTGAGAATTAATTTTGTAACAGTTTAAAAGTCCTAGTGAAATTTATCTGTGAAACAAAGTATCATTTACCTTTGTGAATTTCTGGTGTATGTTGCTTCAGTGCTGTTGAATGCTTCTTCAGCAACGTTATTTTTAGGTATTTGTATAATCCAGAGAAGTAACTAGTAACATGCACTTAGGTTGGATAAATAACAGATGCAAAAACCTAAGTATGTATTTGGCATTATTCATAAGAGATGAGTCTATTATTCAACAGTTTATTTAGAACCAAATAAAACAAAGACAAAGCAAAAGGTTATGGATGCTGGAGGTCTGAAAGAGAAATAGAAATTGCTGGAGAAACTTCGTAGGTCTGTTAGTATCTCAGGAGAGAAAGCAGAGTTAATGTTTCAGATCCAGTGACCCTTCTTCAGAAGAGTTAATGTTTCGGGTTCGGGTGATCCTTCTTTGGAACTGCAGTTCTCCACAGGTGCTGCAAGACCTGTTGAGTTTGTACAGCAGCTTCTGTTTTACCTAGAACCAAGTGTATCCTAACCTACAGAACTCATCCACTGTTGTGTTTTTCAACTGAGTTAATGGCATCTATATGGGCTACCAAAGCAAATTATGAACTTATTGGGTTTAACTCCATGGATTTGAGCAGCTCTACTTATTTTTATGTTCTCTTAGATCTCCAGAAACACAACTAAGTCAATCTAGTCTGTCTGTAGAAGATAATGAACTGTATCTATCCCATGTATTGTACCGATGAAAAAAGAATTCTGAAGGAAGTTTTCACACAAGGCTTCAATCAATATTTTACCACGAGCAAGAGGAATTGAGGGTATATCTCTTTCAGATGAATTAGTTGCACAAAGGGCATGTACAGGGTCACCAAGTGATGTGGTTTATTAAAAACAAATTGCTGTTCCTTTTTGAGATTGTAAAACATTTGAATTAAACTGCACGTTCCTTTAGTTTGCATATAAAAAATTGTAACTAATTTTTGAAACATTTGTGTCATATGATTAATCAAAAGGAACTTTTAATTATGTTCAATCATCATATTAAAGCATTAGCGCACACTGGCATTGCCTTTCACAGCCAGCACACTTTTTCCAGATGCATGGTAAGTGTAGAGTCAGATTACTAAAAGCTAATCTCATCAGGAGCACAGTTTGTCACAATGGCCATTTCCTTGACATTTTTCCCATAATTTGTTTTCTTTTAATGCTTATTAGGCCTTTCTATCCAACATTTGAGGTTTTACAAAAGAGGATTTAATCCAGGAAGATAAAGGTTTTTATATGTGCACATAAACATGATCATGCACTTGCTCAACCAAGAAATGTTAATATCTCCAAATAAGTATTTTACCCCATCATCATGAATAATTTGTTTTACCCCGCTCTAGGTCCTGTGACAGTGGTTCCCACCACGTGTACATACACACACAACCACTGCTAGGTGGAGGCAGACTTACCTCCCATTAATGGGAATATGCCCAAGCAACATAATTATATCAGAGGTGACAGAACTCCACCCCTTTATGAGATATGCTCCAAATAAGATGTATCAGAAAGCTTAAACTGCTGTCTCTATAATGTGCTAAACAGCTCATGGCACTTTGTTGAAGATGAATCACTAATAGTTAACCACAGGTTGTATGTAGGCAGTATGCTGGTTTAACACGTTGGCTTAGTATGGTGGTAGCATAGAATTTCTCCCATGCTGTTATCTCAGCCTGCTTATTGGTCGTAATGAGACTTTGGCCAGTCACACAGTCATGATAGCAGAAACATGGCCGTAGACATTCTGTGAGGCAGATGGGAGGTAGTAACGCTCTCAGTTTAGAGGAACAACTTCAAGTAATCTGTTGGAGGTGCCACTCGCTTACAGACCAACCAATCATAGGTATTATCTTCCTGTTGACTGATTTGTAAATGCTGTCCTGGCCAGTCTCCCTGCATGAACTTAAGCTCCCCTAAAACTCTGTGCCCACTGTTCTACTTGCTGACCAATGTTGGCTCACGATCCAGAAACTAATCTTCTTGTTTTCAAATCTCTCCACATGCTTACTCTGTCCTCGCTCAACTACTTCCTCCAGTTCTCTGAGATTTCTGTGCTTCTCCAATTCTTGCTTAGTGTCGTTAATCACTTTACTAGAGAGCTAGCAATTTACTTTTAAACCCTTGTAAGATAATATTAGAGCTTTACAATAATTAGGAGGGCAGTAGTGTTCAGGAGAGGAATACACCGACTTACAAAGCAAAAGGATATGGCAGCATTGGAGGGTAATTGATACTCAGAGTGGACCAGGAAGGGAGACGGTGTACATGCATTTTTTTTTTTTGTAAAAGCAAATAACACTGAAGGAGGGAAAATGGTAAAAAGGTGAAATTAATGGCTCTTTAATTAAATGAGTGTAGAATTGGAAACAAACTAAATGAATTCATGGTACAAATAGAGGTTAATGTGTATGACCTGATAGCCATTGAAGCAGCACAGTTACAAGCATATGAAGGTGGGAACTAAATATTCGGGGGTATATGACTTTGAAGGAAAAGGGTGATGGAGTGGCTTTGTTAGCACAAGATGGAATAACTCAAAGCGAGAAAGACCTTGGATTAAATGATGTAGAAACCATGTGAGTAGCGGTAAGAAAGAACAAGGGGTAGAATATGCTAGTGATAATAGTTTACAGACTTCCTATGGTATTTGCTGTGTAAGACAGAGCATAAATTAGGAGATAATGAAGACATTTTTTAAAAAACCAGTAACTCAATCCTGGCTTGAAGATAATGGCAGATGTTTAAGAAAATTGTTAATGACTCTCAGCAAAAGTATATCGCAGTGAGGAAGAAGGATTGTAGGAAGGGGATAAACCAACCATGATTAACCAAGGACGTTAAGGATAATATCCTTATGAATTGAAAACCATACCAGCTGGCAAAGATTATTGATAAATCCAAAGATAAGGAAAATTTTAAAAGCCAACAAAAGATGACCAAAAATTTAATAAAGAGGGAGAAAATAAACCATGAGGGCAATCTAGCAAGTAATATGAAAATGCACATTTTAGAACTTCTTCAAATATATAAAAAGGAAGAGAAAGACCAAAGTGAACATAAGCCCCTTGGAGAATGAGGCAAGTTGTGTGTTAATAGGGAACCAGGAAATGGCAGGGAAAGTTGAATAAATTGTTTCAGTCTTCACCAATAGCATTCCAAAAACATTACATAATCAAGGGGCTAAACATGGAAGGGGAAATAAGCACAATAACTATCCCTGGAGAAAACGTACTAGGGAAATTAATAGAGCTGAAGACCAGCAGATCCCCTGGACCTGATGGTGCACATCAAGGATTTTAAACTAAATAATTACAGAGAAAGTAGATGCCTTGGTAGTAATCTTCCAAGAATCCTGCAAAGTCCCAGAAGATTAGAAAACTGCCAATGTAATGCCTTTATTTACAAAGGGAAGGAGATAAAAAGTGGGTAAGTATAGGTCAGTTATCTTAATATCAGTCACTGGGAAATGTTGCGATTCTATTTTAAAGGATGTAATAGCAGAGCATTTAGAAATATGTAATATTAAGCAGAGTCAACATGACTTGAAATCATGCCTGACACATATATAAGAGTTCTTTGAGGAAATAACAGGCAGGATAGATAAAGGGGACCTATAAATGTAATATAATTGAATTTCCAACAGGCATTTGATAAGATATTGCATGTCATGCTACTTAATAAGACAAGAGGATTGGCTAACTAATAGAAGACAAAGAGTTGGGATAAAGCGGGAATTTTCAGAATGGCAGCCTGCAGCTAACGGAGTGTCACAGGAATCATTGCTTCGGCCACATCATTTACAACATATATTCATGATTTGGATAACTGGAGTGAGTGTGTCATTCATAAACTTGCCATAGTACGGAAGTAGGTGGAAGGCAAGTAGCAAGGATGTCACACACAGTCTACAGAGGAATATAGACAGGTTAAGTGAGTGAGTAAAAATATAACAGATGGAATAATGTGGAAAAGTGTAAGCTTGGGCTCTTTTGTCAGAAAGAATTGAAGTGTAGGATAATATTTAAATGGAGAAAGCTGCAGCACAGAGTGATTTGGGAGATACTTTGCATAAATCACTAAAAGTTAGCATACAAGTTTAGTGAGTAATAAGGCATACAAATAAATGTCAGCCTTTATTTCAAAGGAAATGGAGTATAAAATAGGGGGAGGTCTTTCTAAAACTGTACAATGCAGTAGTCAGACCACATTTGGAATATTGTGAACAGTTTTGGTCCCTTTATCTAAGCAAAGATATACTGACAATGGAGGTAGCCCAAAGAGTGTTCAGAATGTTGATCCCAGGAATGGAGTCATTTTCCTGTGAGGTGATGTTGAGTTGGTTGGGTCTGTACTCTTTGGAGTTTAGAAGAATGAGCAGTGATCTTAATGAAACATATAAAATTTTTAAGGGGTTCAACAGGATAGATACAGAGAGTGTGGGACAATCTAGGACCACAGGGCATAATCTCAAAGTAAGGGGTCACCCATTTAACATAGAGATGAGAAGGAACACTTTTTTTCTCAGAAATTAATGAATCTGGATTTTTTTTTTACAGCAGGGGCTGTCAAAGCTGGCTTGTTAAGTATCTTCACTGCTGAGATAGACAGGTTGCTAATCAGTAAGAGAATCAAGCATTATGGGGATAAAGCAAGAAAGTGGACTTTAGATGTATCAGATCAGGGTCGATCTCATTGAATTGTGGAGCAGACACGATGGGCTAAATGGTCTAGGCTCACTTCTGCTCCCACACTTTGTGGTCTAAGTAAGAACTTCCACATCCAGATCACATCATTTTTTTTTTGTTGAGGTTTCCATAAAATTCATTCATTTTATAAAATTGCATAAATCTATGGGATAATGGGATGTCATATCGGAAAGTATTGTGGTTAATTTATTAAAACTTTCTTTGCATATCAGAAAATAACAGCATTATATTTACAGCTGATTGTGGTTTTCTATATAAAAATGTTATATTGTCTGTGTATAATAAAAGAATTGTTAACAGGTTTCTTTTCCATCACTTGCGCTGGTGCTATTCTTTGCAATACTTCTTTCCATTGCCAGTTCTATGTCAAGAGCTCTTAGTTGCTTCAGAAAGCCACGATTTGGTAAAATACACCGGTGTTTAATTACTTGTTGAACTGCATCCACCACTGTCATATTCTTGTAGATCATCAGGTAAGCCAGGACAAGTGTTGCTGATCGGCTCCGGCCCCTTGCACAATGGACTAGGAGCTTAGCTGGAAAAGCAGAGCAATATATATTATAGGACAACTTGGTCCACTTTATTACAAGTTAGGAGGGTGTACTTCTCTAATATCAGAGTCACTAGACCACATGAAACAAACAGATCCTAAACAAAAAAAGCTGAAGATATAGACCAAATTGATATTTTTCTAAATATCTAAACATAACAAAGAATTTTTATGCCACCTTTTTAAACCTGCTAATTCAAGGATAACATGAAATTACTGCTTCTTTTTCCGCAATGCTTCCTTCTCTGTTGAGTGTTTCCAACACATTCTGTTTTTGTTTCAGGTTGTCAGTATCTGCAGTATTTTATTTTGATGCAAAGCACTTTGGGATCTTAGATAGCTGGTCTTGCACAGACCCCAGGCCAAAATTGAACTTCCTGAGTAAGTCGGAATCAATAATTACCTAAAACACATACTCAGTGAAGGGAAACCACTTGGTATAAAGAAGACGACAGCAAAATTTAATCAAATGTCACAGATATCCATATGGCAAGTTTCTTAAAGCATAAAATGCTGGCAAATCTAATTTTTAGATTCAGCTATAAGCTCAATTTAAATGTAATGCAGTGTAAACATTAGTAAGAAACCGAATCATCTGGAAGGAAGTGCAGTCTTTAAAACAAAACATGATAACACAGTCTTTGCCTTAAAATTTCTACCTGTGCACCTACAACTGATGGAAGATATTGTGAATGTCTTAACATGCGTGAAATAGCTACCGCTGTAACTTGGAACTGAAGACCTTTTGAAATATCTTTCATCAGCAGTGACTGTGATGTACTTGATGGTTTATTATTGCTATTAGTAATCATGCTGTACTTCTTTAGGCTTTTAATGATGTGTGTAAATGTCATATTTTCTGCAACTGAGCTCTCCACTGGGGGAGGATCGTTTGCAAAATGAAGCTTGTTTAAAAAAAACATTTAATGACTATTGTGTATCGCCTGACTAATTCTGTGAACCTTAGTGGAGTAATGTTACATCAGAATTGAAGATTACCGTAATGCACGTCAGATTGGAACACATCAAATTAACATAGGGCTTTGAGTTATGATGACCTTTGTTATTGGAGAGTACTGCTGAAGATTTTAATCCAGGACAACTAATACCTCCTTACATAACTCATTAAAATTGAACCTAATTTTAGAAGCAACTCAAAACCATTTCATTACAGTCTCAACATGGTATTCTTGACTTTTGCCGAGCCTTGTTTATGGAGCTTATTTATCAGAAGTTTAAAATTATGCAGAACAGAAACTGGTGATTTGGCCCATTGAGCTATTCAATTATTGTAACTCCCTTGCTCTTACTCCACTGCCCTATAAAACATTCCTTTTCAAACACCAACTCAATTCCCAGGTGAAGTTATTGTATGTCTGTGGAACCAACCATTACTGGCTAATGATTGTGGTAGAGTGCTGCTGGCAATCCTTATTTTCAAACAGGGCCTGTTTAGTAGTCTATCCTCTACCACTATTATCTAGAGAATCTTAACAAAAATAAACACTTGGCTTAACAGCCAGATACTCAACAGCAATAAGTGCACGATGTGTTGGCTAGTTAGACATTGCTACTAAGACCATCAGGAGCTACGGATGTTGTGTCTAAACACATTAGGATCTAGTGTTGAACTCCTCGCTTCTCCCCCCAAGACAGTATTACACCATAAGATTGGTGCAGCCTCATGCAGCGTCCAGTATTAATCCTTACAGAACCATTATGTTACACAACAGAAGTTACTATTGAATCTGATTCCACCTCCCTTTTGAGCCAGTCTGTCCTAATTCAGAAGAACTTCCTTCATTGAAAATTAATCTCATCTTAACTCAGTTTCTTTTACCAATTACCTTAAATATGTATCCACTTTTATCATTAGAAACAACTTCTCCTTATTTACTTTCTCAAAATCTTTGATCATTTTGTACATCTCTGCTAAGTACACGGACATAGACTGTAGCGGTTCAAGAAGGCAGCTCACCACCACCTTCTCAAGGGCAACTAGGAACAGCAATAATGGTGGCCCAGACAGTGATGACCATGTGCCACAAGTGAATAAAAAAAGTCTACTTTTAGCCTTTCCAGCTCCAAGGAGAACAATCTCAGTTTCTCAACTCTTCACAATAAACAACTAAAAGAAACACAAATGTTAAATACTAACACACCTTTCTAACTGTGAAAGATTATCTTCCTCTTGGCAAGAAATAATCTCTAGAATTAGAGAACTCTGAAAGTTCAGAATATACATAACACAATGGAGAGGATGTTCTTAATGAAAACTAAAAAGGCAGATTTTTTTTAATCTGTTTAGAGCACCATATTCAACAAATTTAGTTTTAAGCCATATTTAAGGTATATCGATTAACTTTTTAAAACTTGTTTGAAAATATTCACTTTTGTAATTGTTACTTTTAAATCATGTATGATTGTAGAGGTGTAAGAGTTGTTAGTACTGAACAATTGATGGGAGAACATTCCTGAATATTTAATAGTTATACGCATCACTGCAATGATAGTGGTTAGAATGTGCATTATCACTTACCCCCTGATGTGCTTAGTGCATTGTCGATATACTGGGCAGCTGGATAGAAGAATTCACTTAAATTAAACGTTGGCACATCTTCAGCCTCCACACCATAATAATCAATAGGCATACCCCTATAGTATTCATCTCCTGTGTCCACATTCCAGCGACCATGGGCTGCATTTAGTACGTGAGTGAAAGCCATCTTTTCAATCGTATACCGATCCAATGCTGTTACTCTATAATAAAATATACAGAGTTATGTTAATTTAGTTGACTTGTGAAAGTGAATGGAAGTGTATTTCTTTTCACTACTGCCAAGTTTTCAGGGAATAAAATATCTTCACTTTCCTGACCATTTCTTCTGAACACACCATCCAAACGTGTGTGTGGCCGGCCTCAGATCCCTGCTAGTGTCACTCCATAACTAATCAAGAGAACATACAGAGAGCAACCAAATTTTACTCAGCTTACATCAGGAGCTGGTTCATTACAGTCTGTGCCTTCTTACAAGCCCAGCCAAAATGAACGAAGTCAAAGTGCTTTTATGCCCATAATTAATTTTCTTTTGGGAGCGCATTACATTTTGGGGAAGAAATAGTGTTCTTTACAGAAAAGAATAAATGGTTGTCAGAGCTCCAAATGGATAGATCTTTCAATAAGTTGGGACAAACAAAATAGAACACATAGCCTCTCCCACTGTACTTTGCGATTCTACGAAACTTAAATGATGGGATTATTCAGATTTAGTCAGTACAAGGTAGATCTTCCTTACAATTGGTGAGACTCCTAAATAGATTCGGTGTTTTGCATTTTACTTCATATCTCCTCTAAATACTTATAACAATGTGCAGGGTAATTTTTAGTGATGTAATTACCCATTGTAAAAGATCTACCCATTTTTAAAAAGAAATAGTTAATTGAAAATGCTTCTGATCATTTCAACACAGATTTATGCTTTGAGAGTCAACTTGACACTTTCTACACAACAAAGGAGCAAAATTACCAAGAGACAATTTTGATCCATGTAAGCACCTTTTCGCAACTAGTGGAGGAGCTCATGACAGTCATCAATGCTGGTATTTGTGATTATCCAGATATAGCAGTGAGATTGTGCTCCAAGGAGTGTTGTGTCCAGAGAATTGGACTGTAGATTTTGAATCAGTTCTTTCCCCAGAGAAGTGACTGCATATTTTTATAATGTGTTATTCATGTCGATGGTCAGCTGGCAGGACCAGGCTGCTTATTACTTCAGGACAGATTGTCTGTATGCATTTAGCATGATGTAAGCAAGTGAAATGTGCTTTGCAGGAGGTGACTAGCCAAAAACCGGTACAGAGAGCAAGGGATGAATTCCCACAGGGAACGGCCGTGTAGAAAGTTTAAAAAACAGATTGTGGACAAAAATAAGAAAGGTAACAGAAAACCCAAAGTGTCAGAAAAGTATCATTAGCGATCTTTGCTGGTGCCTAGTTATATCATGTCAATACAGTGTGGAGCTGGAGGAGCACAGCAGGTCAGGCAACATCAGAGGAGCAGGAGAGTCAACATTTCAGGTCGGGACCCTTCTTCAGGCCACTTAGATAGGGACTAACAATTTTGCTTTATTAAACATACTTTTATTTGTTTTTAGCATAAAGAACTGCAGAAACAAAACCTTAGCCCTAAAGTCTGTATACGTTTCCTCATGAACCAGTCCATCCATTCCCACTCCACTTCTAACTCCCATACCATTATCTTTTCTTGTGATAACTAATTTCTTTAATTATTCCTCTAATTCTTTTTAAAATAATTTAGATTGAACTTCAACAGTGGTTTATGATACGAAACTATACGCTAACCACCCTATGAGTAAGGCATATTTTTTTTCTAATGTCCCCATTTAGTTCTACTGAATCTTTAACAATTTTTTGTCATGTCATTTGAACACATTCAAATGTGTTAGGATTTAAGTTGTATGATTTACAAATGTTTGTTATATTGAAGGTAATTTTATTTTAGTCCCCCAGCACGAGACAGATGTTATATATTTAGCATTATAAAATCTATATTATACAGCTTTAATCTAGTTGCATTTTGCTGTTTAATTTGAACTTACTCATCTCCTATGTAAATATCTGGCCAGACTTCATTAACATGAGCAAATTTTGCAGTGCCTTTCCAGAAGAGTCGCTCCAGTTCAAATGCCCCTGGAGTAATGTAATCATCATTGGGATCCACTTTCACAGCTGCATAGGCACTTTTCTTGCAAATCTCTGTACCTCCAGAGGACATTGCTGTCACTATAATGTTCCTGGTGTAGAAAGCTTCTCAAAGTTTCATTGACCTGTGTGTTGGATACAATGTACTGTTTAGAAATGTTAGAATGACAGACTGAAAATCTGATTTCTCGAAAGGGCCAGCTGCCACTAAAGCCACCATTATTTAAAATTACATCTGTAATTAAAATACCGATTGTAAAGAAGATTTCTAACAGGATTACACACAGAGTGTATTTACCAATCCCAGGATAGACTTCCTCTGTATAATAAGGTTAAGGAGAAAATGTTGAATATTTCATTATGTGAAGAACACAAGGAGAAACTGTCCCTGCAATTCATATCCTGTCTATGCCTTCAAAAGGCTCCAAATTGGTTACATCTTGTTAAAACAATCTGTGAAACATCCTCATGATAATCCTTCAAGAAGCACAGCAATGTTTAAACAACACAAAAGAGAGGTGTAACGTATTCCCCAAATCTGTATTTTATTAATTTAACTCCCTTTACTACTACATACCCCGGAGTTCATCTAGATAGACAACAGCCCTGCAAGTGCTGCTCTCCAACTGAAAGTGGCACCGAATGACCAAACCTTTGCTATTGATCTAGTTCAATTGGTCATGAAAAGATGTGAGACAGGGTCTTGGGGTGACTGCACTTCACACCAAGCAGAGAAGGATCAGAGAGTCCATTCTTCTGTTGAATCGCACTGCAGCTGAACTGAGATCACAGCACACAAATAGCCACCAGCATCAGCCTTGGCTCACTGCCCACTTTGAGTAAGAACTTGATGGCCTGGTCTAGATTTGCACTTTGTTGCAGTACTGAGGGAGTGCTGAATTGTCAAATGTACTGCCTTTTAGATGTGACAGTAAATTAAAGTCCCAAGTGCTTCTCAAGCTGTTAATGAGACACACCAACTGGAAGAATTGAAATAAAACAAAACAAGACTCTGTAGGCAAGGGACATCCCAAATGTCTTTGCAGCTATTGAAATACTTCCATTGGACTGTTGTTGATATAGGGAAGCACAGAAGCTTAACCACAAATATCACACTGGAGCATTGAGCTAACTCTTTACAGACATCAGTTTAGGGAATGATGTTGAGTAAACCATTAAGCCTCAGAGTCTTTCAATGTCAGCTTGAAAGGCATTTGGGACTTTGAGTTAGTGTCACATCTAAAAGGCAGTACTTTTGATAATTCAGGACTCCCTCAGTACTGCAACCAGGTGCAAAATTAGACCTGGGCCATCAAATTCTTACAAAGTCGACAATGAGCCAAGGCTGATGCTGGGGGCTGTTTGTGTGCTGTGATCTCAGTTCAGCTGATCCTACCAGCATTTTCTATGTATCCTGTTATCTCATTCTGTATTATGGATTTTAGCATTTTCCCTAAGAGTTTGGTAATGGGAAAAACGTGGAGAAACTGAGGCGTTTTCATTTTATAAAAGATCTATGTGCAGTTTTAAAATCAAGTGAGTTACAAATTTCAAGCTCTAGGTAAAAATCCTCTTGTCTTCTGTCCCCTGACCAGTGTGACACTACATTCTAATTATGTAACCCACTTCTACATAAAGCAACCAGCATTAATAAAATGTCATCTATTGATTTTGAAACATTGAGACACAATATTTGTTTAAAATTAAACTTGAAAAGAATTCACTCCTACAGATTTCAGCTAACTATGATGATTACAATTTCATTTCATTAAAAATTAAAACTGGACAAAATAAGGCGAAGAATATGATTTTAATAAAAAACCTGTTAGAAAACAGGCAAAAAGAATATGTATCGCAGTTACTTACAGAGAGTACACAGTGAGTTTAGACAGACACGAGGTAAGGACCAGAACCAACGTCAGAATCAAAGTTCTTCTCTCCTATTGCTTCCATTCTCTGTTCCTCGATCTCTCTCGCCTGTGTATTTACTTCGGGAGTTGCTAACTTTGACCTTCGCCTGAGCTTAGGCTCCAAGCCAAGGCAGGGTCATCATTGCACAGGTGGTTAGCCTATTTTTAGCTGGAGCCTGAAATCCAAACCTTGGGCCCACATTCCAGCTCTGAATGCAGGCAGAAAGCCACAGGGGAAGTAGCCTTGGTCTTGTCAGATGAGTGGTCAATGTACAATGCAGCCTGAGGAATTGTGGAAAATACAGCACAAAGGGCAGCCATTCAGCCCTCATTCCCATGCTAGCATTAAAGCTCAGGCAGAGGTCAGAGCGTCACCGCTCCCCCCACCCACGATGCGTGGGATCCACAGGTGGACCAGAGGTTTATGGCCCAAGCTCTATTTCCTGGGGATGAGCAAGACACAGTGTTCATATGGTGTTGGCTCCGTATGGTCTCGAACTTAGAAAGTGGCCGGATGCTACAGTGGGACTTGAGGGCCATGGAGGAGTGGATCCATCTTCTACTGGAGCTATGGAAGTGGTAGCCACTCTGAACCTCTGTGCAACTGCTTCCTTCTGGGAAGCAAGTCATAGTCCCGCAAATGCATCAAAACAGTGACCTATGCCATCTGTGCAAGATCTCCACAATTCATTTCACTACCCCGCTGCATGACACAATAAGTTCTGTAGCCTGGCCAGTAGGATTCAGGAATGTAGCTGGCTTCTTCCAGGTGCTATTGACCGTACACATGTGGCACTGAGAGAGCCGTGCCTCATCGCTGTGGGAATTCAGCAACAGGACTATTTCATGAATGTGCTGGTGATCTGTGGTCACCGTCACTGCTTCCTGGACGGTGTGTGCCCACTACCCTGGCAGCTGCCATGCCTCCTGGAGCAGTCCTGTGTAACTGGTGCGTTTGAGGATAAGGATGCCTTACAAAGCTGGTGAGTAGGGAGCAGGGGCCACTCACTGTGACAATGGCTCATTATGTAGCCCCCGACTGATCGAGAGTGGCTGTTAATGCTACTGAAGCTTCTACCAGGGCCATAGGGGAGTAGACAGTAAAGCTGCTGAGGATGTGATTGGATAGGGGCTGGGGGCTGTGGACTGGGTTATAGTCAGGACAGCATGCGCACAATGACTGCTGCATTTCCTACATTGCCACAGCGATTACACTTCAAAAAAGTATGCCATTGACTGTAAAGAGTTCTGAGATACTTTGGTCATGAAAGGTGCTATAGAAATGCAAGGCTTTGTTTCTTTATTAATTCTTCAAAACCTCATAACAAGGATGACAGCCTTGGATGCAATAAACCACTAATTTCTAAACTCTTTATTCCATTCCATCAGTGTATAGGAACTATTATTGAATTCACAGAATTCCTATTGTTGTTACTGCATTTCCTTTTATTGATACAAGTGATAAAAACAGTGATCTTTGGTGCTAATAAAGCTGTGTCAACCATAAAACAACAGTCAATCATATCTCATGTATCCAAGAAGATGCTGAACTAAATTGAGAGCATAAAGTTAATAAATCTCTGTCTACTTTCGCTGTACTATTTTCCATCCAGATATTTTGTAAATGAAGCCTTGTTGTGAGGTCACCATATGTCAAGCATTCAAGGTCCAATCATCTTTTCCTTTCTTTCATTAGGGCTCTGTCAAGCTCTTGGAGTTGAGAGAGGAAGCCATTGTTAGGTGAGATATTCCGATGAGCGCTCACTGTTTTAATAGCCGCAACCAGAGACATCTTTTCACAGATCATTAAATATGCAAGGACTAGGGTTGCTGCTCGGCTGATTCCCATAGCACAATGAACAAACACTTTACCTGCAAAGGAGATAAATACTGGTAACAACACAGACTGTGCCTACAAAAACAGAAGTTGCTGGAAAAGCTCAGCAGGACTGGCAGCATCTGTGAAGAAAAAAATCAGAGTTAACATTTCGGGTCCAGTGACCCTTCCTCAGAACTGGGCCTAGATTGCTGCATGTAGGAGGAACTGAGCTTCTGAGATTACCTATAACTTGAGATTATTGAACCAATTCACCGGCACTCTCTTATAATAATAACTCTTTAGTGGATCCTATTGAAGACTCTTTTTCAATTAACTTTATAGTGTTAAATAGACAAAGGGAATCTGAATGATGCAATCGATGTGCTCTGCTGTCATTTCACTCCATTGATCAGGGATTACATCAAGTCCACACTCTTTACTTTTCTCTGTGGACTGCAAGGATCCTGAATGATGTCAGCTTGTACTGTCTCAATCCGGTTGCAAATTGTCTTAGGCTCATGTGCTTGTCTTCTAACTGCCCTTTGGCAATTAGGGCTGGGCAATAAAGGCTGACCTAGTCAGGGATACCCATAAACCACAAACAAGTTAAAACAATATAGTGACAGTGAACTGGTTATCTCACTCACACAGGTCACAGGAAGAGTTGGTTTGAAGTATCAAAATGTTCCAGTGATGTAATAATGCATACTTTTAGTTTGGTTGTATTTGCTTTTTAAGTCAATACACAAATGGTATGAATTCAATGTTGCTGGTCCCAGTACCCCTTATCAGACAGTGGGGAGGTGATGGTCTAGTGGTATTATCGTTAGACTATTAATCCGGGGACCCAGGTTTGAATCCCACCACTGCAGATGGTGAAATTTAAATTAAATTTTTTTTAAAAGTCTGAAACTAAGAACCTAATGATGACCATGAAACCATTGTCACATTGTTGGAAAAACCCATCTGATTCACTAATGTACTTCAAGGAAGGAAATTGCCATTCTTACCTGGTCTGGCCTACATGCAACTCAAGACCCACAGCAATGTGGTTGACTTTTAACAATTGGGGATGGGTGTGAAATATTGGCCCAGCCACTGACACCCACATCCTGTGAATAAATTTGAATAAAAAAGAGGCTGCACTGCATCTTCTGGGGAATAATATTCATATTGTTTTTGATATGCCTATGAAAGAGCTTGCTGTTTAATAAGGCAATCAGCCACTGTTCATATCTCTTCGAAGCAGATTGTTATGTCCTTCCATGTAAAAGGTGCTATACAAATGCAAGTTATTGATGCAAGGTGTTCTTCTCCAAGGAAGGTCAACATTGTTTAATTTCTTATGCACCCTTCCAGTCTAAACTATTCATGTAGTACATGTGGTGGTTTTAATAGCCTCATCTTCCACACAGTGAATGGTCCTGTCTTTACCATAATTCCATCAGTGTGACATTCCCTAGATTTCCAGTATGACAGGCTCAGTCATTCCCACTGGATCCTCATCCTCATCTCAGATCTCAGCTTTTTTATAATTAACAGGAATCAGTCTCTCTGTAAATCTGTACAGGGGTTTCCAAAAAAAATCACTGTATCATACTCAAGGGATAACATTGCCCAGTTCCTGATAAAACCTGCCATTCAGGTTGTGGCCTGGTTTTCTTGAGAGAAGCTGCCATTTGCATAGAATGATAGAGTCATAGGGCTGTACAACATGGAAACAGGCCCTTCGGTCCAATTCATCCATGCTGACCAGATATCCTAAATTAATCTAGTCCCATTCGCCAGCATTTGGCCCATATCCCTCTAAACCCTTCCTATTCATGTACCCATCCAAATGCCTTTTAAATGTTGTAATTGTACCAGCCACCACCACTTCCTCTGGCAGCTCATCCATACACGCACCACCCTCTGTGTGAAAAAGTTGCCCCTTGGGTCCCTTTTAGATCTTTCCCCTCTCACCTTAAACCTATGCCATCTAGTTTTGGACTCCCTTATCCTGGGGAAAAGACCTTGACTATACATCCTATCCATGCTCCTCATGATTTTGTTAACATCTATAAGGTCACCCTTCAACCTCTTATGCTTCAGGGAAAAAAGTCCCTGATTACCCAGCCTCTCCTCATAACACAAACCCGCTAGTCCCAGTAATATCCGTGCAAATCTTTTCTGCTCCATTTCAAGTTTAATAATATCTTTACTATAACAGGGTGACCAGAACTCCAAAAATGGCCTCACCAATCTCCTGTACAGCATAACGTCCCAACTCCTAGACTCATTGCTCTGACCAATGAAGTCACACATGCCAGATGCCTTCTTTACCACCCTGTCTACCTGCAACTCCACTTTCAAGGAACTATGTACCTGAACCCCAAGGTCTCTCTGTTCCACAACACTCCCCAGGGCCCTACTGTATAACTGTATAAGTCCTGCCCTGGTTTGTCTTATCAAAATTCAATACCTCACATCTATCTAAATTAACCAATTTCTGCCACTCCTTGGCCCATTGGACCAGCTGTTCAGGATCCCATTATACTCTTAGATAAACTTCTTCACTGTCCACGTTGCCATCAATTTTGGTGTCATCTGTAAACTAACTAACCATGCTTCCAATATTCTCATCCAGATCACTTAAATAAATGATAAAAACAGTGGAGCTAGCACCAAATGCTGCCGAATACAGCTGGTCACAGGCTTCCAGTCTGAAAAACAACCCTCTACCATCATGCTCTATCTCCTACCACCAAGCCAATTTTTTACCCAGTTGGCTAGCTCTCGCTGGATCCCACGTGATCTAATTTAAAATGGAACCAATGGGCATTGGGGGCCAACTCTCCCACTGGTTGGGTGAGGAGCAGCAGGTCCTGACAAGCCAAACAGATGATCTCAGCAAATTACATGGACAGGGACCATTGAACTGCCTTCCAAGCCTTTCCCTTACCTATAACACCAATATTTTGGGTGTGTCTTTTTAGAAAGTATTTTATAAAGAGATTAGAGTTTCCATTAGTAGAGTTATATATCAATGATTCATAATTGTTTACCTGGAGCTAGAAACTATTCATTTGCAATAAATAGTAATTCTTGCTAAGTACTGGTCCATGCTTCCTGTCAACTTGGGTCTATTTCATGGGTAAATTGTGGAATTTTGCATACTTTTGTAAAATCTTTAACTTCTGTGTTAACTCTGGGAATTGCTGGCCTCGTTTTCTACCTGCTAATGCAGTATGATGTAACAATACGAAGCTCATCCTTATCAGTGGTGATTCATATGCTAATATTCAGGATCTATTTGAGTACAACAGGGTTTATGACACTTATTGGGAAAGGATAATAAATATTGTCCAATGGCCTGGGAAACCCCAAAAATAAACAGTTCAGTTAAAAGCTTCTAGAACATTGGTGCTAGCAGATGCTATAAATACAGGTGTGTATTTATCCAATATTCTCAACGAAATATAATGCAAAGGCCAATCTGAGAAACGTTTGCCCATAGAGTGTTAAGTGGATCTCTTCGGGACAATGTACATTTTATTGGTTGTTGACTATATGGACAGGAAAACTGGAGTTTGCATTTCCAACTTGATATGGTCTTTAAAAGGTCTCTGACACACATCAGGTAATCTGATTCAGATAAACACTGTTTTTATCTCCGTCATCTTCCTTCATGGCAATGTGACAATTAGTGTTTGTGTTGCTCAGAGTTGACTTTTAATCTGACTTCAGATTCCATGGGCTGTCTTACCTAGCATCAGTTCATAGCGAAGAGTTAAAACAACTCTGACTCAGACCCACCCCACGTGGATTCCAACTGAAGTTTCATCTCTCATGTTTTGAATCCTCTCAGGATCACAGATATCTCCGTGATGTTCAATGTTCCATGGACAGCTGCTCTTGCCGCATCCTGAGATCCACACTCAGTGCCATGCAGCGTCACATGCACACTCTCAACCTCTCTCTCCAACAGCATCGCAACACACTGGCTCAGCGCTGCACCACTCCGCAGTTCCACTTCATCCTCCGGCTCATTCGTCGAGCTAACAAGAAACTTTTTCTTTTCCTTTCAGGCATCAAGGCCCACAAGATGCAACAACTCAAAAATACCCATGGCCCTCTTGGACCTTCCACCCCAACCCTTCCCTCTGACTCCATCCCCTCCCCCAACCCCCCCACCTCCTGTCGGGTATTCACCATCCCTCCTAACCTTCCACTCTCTGATGCTGAACGTTCTGTACTCAGCAAAGGCTTCAGCTTTATCCCTCTGCATCCCCACCTTAATGAATTTTGGGCACGACATGACATCGAACTCTTCTTCCGCCATCTTCGCTTCTATGCTCATTTCTTTGGACAAGAGTCCTCTCCCATCCCACAGACCCTTTTGCCCAGTTCCAACACTCTCCCTCCACCTGGAACCCTCCCTCCGGCTTTTACCTGAGAACTGTCGACGTGACATTAGTCGCCTAAATTTCACTGCCCTTTTCACTAAATCCAACCTATCTCCCTCCGAACTGACTGCACTCCGTGGGCTTAGATCTAACCCTGACTTTGTCACTAAGCCAGCCGATAAGGGTGGTGCTGTTGTTGTCTGGCGTAATGACCTCTACCTTTCAGAGGCTGAGTGCCAGCTCTCAGATATCTCCTCCTACCTTCCCCTGGACCATGACCCCACCATGGCACATCAGGGCATTGTATCCACTACGGTTACTGATCTCATTTCATTCGGTGATCTTCACCCCTCTGTTTCCAAGCTAATAGCCCCCCAATCCCACACAGCTCGTTTCTACCTTCTGCCAAAAATCCACGAACAGGACTGTCAAGGTAGACCCATTGTTTCAGCCTGCTCGTGCCCCACAGAACTCATCTCTTCCTACCTTGACTCAGTCTTCTCTCCCCGGTCCAATCCCTACCCACATACATCCATGATTCATCTGATGCCTTACGCCGGTTTCAAAACTTCCAGTTTACCAGCTCCAGCCACCTCCTCTTTACCACGGTCCTGCAATCCCTTTACACGTCCATTCCCCACCAGGAAGGTCTTTGGACTCTCCGCTTCTTTCTGGAGCAAAGACCTGAACCGTCCCCACCCACTACTACCCTCCTCCGCTTGGCCGAGCTTGTCCTCACCCTCAACAACTTCTCTTTCAACTCCTCTCATTTTTTTCAGGTAAGAGGGGTTGCCGTGGGTACCCGCATGGGCCCTAGTTATGCCTGTCTCTTTATGGGGTACGTGGAACATTCTTTGTTCCAGTCCTATTCTAGCCCCCACCCACAACTCTTTCTCCGATACATCGATGATATCATCGGTGCTGCTTCCCTCTCTCGTCTGGAATTGGAAAACTTCATCAATTTCGCCTCCAATTTCCACCCTGCCATCACGTTCACCTGGTCTATCTCTGACTCCTCCCTTCCCTTCCTTGACATTTCTGTTTCCATTTCTGGGGATAGACTGGCCACTAATATCCATTACAAACCCACTGACTCCCACAGCTATCTGGACGGTATATCCTCACACCCTGCTTCCTGTAAAGACTTCATCCCATTCTCTCAGTTCCTCTGTCTCCATCGCATATGTTCAGATGAGACCAAATTCGACAAGGGAGCCCCCAAAATGTCCACCTTCTTCCTCAACCAAGGATTCCCCAGCTCTGTTGTCAACCAGGCCCTCAACCAGGTCCGACCCATCTCCTGCACTTCCGTCCTCACCCCTTCTCTTCCCTCCCGCAACAGCGGTAGGGTTCCCCTTATCCTCACCTACCATCCCACCAGCATCCACATCCAGAAGATCATCAGATGCCATTTCCGCCACCTCCAGCGAGATGCCACCACCAAACACATATTCCCCTCCCCTCCCTTGTCCGCCTTCTGCAGGGACTGTTCCCTCAGGGACACCCTGGTCCACACTTCCCTCACCCCCAACACCTCCCCATAGCCCTACGGCACCTTCCCCTGTAACCAGCAAAGGTGCAACGCCTGCCCATTTACCTCCTCCCTCCCCAGTATTCAAGGGCCCAAACATACCTTCCAGGTGAAGCAACATTTCACCTGCACTTCACACAATCTAGTCTACTGCATTTGCTGCTCACAATGTGGTCTCCTCCACATTGGGGAAACGAAGCATAAACTGGGTGACCGCTTTGCAGACCATCTACATTCTGCTTGCTAAAAAAGACCCTGAACTACCTGTTGCCTGCCATTTCAATGCACTACCTTGCTCCCTGGCCAACATCTCTGTCTCTGGCTTCTGCAGTGTTCCAGTGAAGCCCAACGCAAGCTGGAGGAACAACACCTCATTTTCTGCTTGGGGACCCTCCAGCCCTCCGGACTCAATATTGAGTTCAATAATTTTAGGGCCTAAGCTCTCCCATGTCTCAGCCCCCTACTCCACACACCAGGCCTTGTTATCACATAGCCTGCCATTACACACCCCCTGTTGTTAGTCACTAATTAACAATTGTTCACCCTCCCAGCCTGATCGTTAGCAACTCCTTTGTCTGTCCAACTGTCTTTCTCTCTCTTTGGGCTCTATCCTATCGTTTACTCCCTACCCCACACACCTCCCCATTTCCTGCATCTAAACTGATGTTTTCCCAGCCACTATCAGTTCTGAGGAAGGGTCACCGGACCCGAAACGTTAATTCTGTTTTTTCCTTCACAGATGCTGCCAGACCTGCTGAGCTTTTCCAGCAACTTTGTTTTTGTTCCTGATTTACAGCATCCGCAGTTCTTTCGGCTTTTTTTAGTTAAAACAACTACTTGTTATGTATTGTATTGTCTGTAAAAAGCTAGGAGCAATTGTCTGGATAAGTGTTTTGGTGGGCTACATTCACAGCTGCACTAAAGAATCAGGGCTTGTGTAACATGCCATAAACACAAAGAAATCTCTGCTTGTACCGGGAGAAATTCCACCTTGGTTCCAGGTATGAAAAAGGACCACTTCTTACAAGCGGCGTAAAATTTTCCCTCGTTTTTTTTATCCCACTGCAGATGGAAATGTGATGAAACCTATACAGCAGGACCATATGAGACAATAGATCTGACCTTACTTTCAAATAACCTTGGACGTTTACTTACCACCAAGTGTGTTTAGTCCAGCTCTGATGAATTTAGCAGCTGGGTAAAAAAAAGGACTAAGATTGAAGTTTGGGTCATCAAATGCTTCTACTCCATAGTAATGTATTCCCATGTCTTTATAATATGTGGCTCCGGTGTTAATATTGAACTTTCCATCAGCAGCGTTGAGGATGTGCGTAATCCTCAGTCTCTTTAGAGTTCCCTTGTCTCGAGCAGTCCACCTGGAGAACATTAAATAATTATTTTAAGCTGGTTTAGAACATAAAAAGCTTACAGTGACTGGTTGTAGTGGCGATGATAGGCAATTTCACTGCCCTCACATACACACAGGCATTTACCCAGAATTTGCTGGAGCAGGACACCTCACAGCTGTCAATCTCATGTCTCAGTGCAGATCACCAGTTGTCTCTCCATTTCCAGTTCTGATACTGACAGAGGTCTTCAGGTAGGGTCTTGAAGTTCAGATTCTCATAGTTAGTTTTCATGGTCAAGCAGCAGCCAACACTAATCACTACCACCCCTCCACATTCATCTACACTGAGAAAAAGGCACACTTGCTTTGTCTTCTGCTGGACAGACTACTGATAAACTGCAAAAGATCCTAACACCACACTGATTTAAGGCAGGCCTGGATAGCGCCTGAGCCAATATGGTATTAGTTGTTTAAAGTTTTTGAGAAGATTTGTTGCTCGGATTGTGGATGAGCTTGTAGACATGCTCGCTGAGCCAATGGGTTTGGTTGCAAATGTTTCGCCACCCTGCTAGGTAACATCATCATCGATTTGTGCAAACATATCAACAGAACACCAATGGGATCCCCAGTATAAGGACTGATTGCAGAAGCAGTAATAGAAAGGTTAGAGTGGACAGCGCTCCCCACTATACAACCCAAACTTTGGGTCCAATATGTAGATGACACCTTTGTGATTATTAAACGCACTAAACTGGAAGAAACCCACTGACACATAAACAACATCCTCACCGGGACAAAATTCACAAAAGAAGAGGAGAACAACAACCAACTACCCTTCCTAGGCAAAATGGTACAACGCAAAAACAATGGGCAACTCCAGACTAGCATATATAGAAAGACCACACATACAGACCAGATACTCAGTCACACTAACAACCACCCCAATGCCCACAAACAGAGCTGCATCAGGACACTATTTAAACAAGCCACAACACATTGCAGCAACCTGTAACTACACAAAGCAGAACAGGAGAACCTGTACGGAGCCTTCAAAAGGAATGGATACCCAAAAAGTACAATCTGCCGTTATCTCCAAGACAGACCACAACAAGAAGACACAACACCACCGGAATCACTATTCACCCTACTGTATGTCAAGGACATTTCAGAGATGACCACAAGACTACTCGGACCCCTAGGTATCAGAGTAGCGCACAAACCGACAACCACCCTACGACAGCTACTGATGAACGTCAAGGATCCCATACCCAAAACCAGCAAAACGGGGATAATATACAAATACCATGCAAGAACTGTGAGAAATACTTCATCGGCCAAACCGGAAGAAAATTGACAATATGGATACACCAACACCAACTCGCCACCAAGAGTCATGACCAATTCTCACCTGTCTCACTACACTCAGACAACGAGGGACATGAATTTGACTGGCACAACACAGCCATAATCGCACAAGCCAAACAGAGACACGCGGGGAATTCCTGGAGGCCTGGTATTCTAACTGGAACTCTATCAACAAACACATTGAATTAGACCCAGTGTACAAACCACTGAGAAACAGAACTGGAAATAATACCGACCACCCCAGCAAACCGAGGCACAAAAATAACAAGCGGGACAGAACACCGACGCTTCACCGGAGGCACACTGACAATGTTACCTAACGGTGAAGGAACGTTTGCAACCAAACCCACTGGCTCAGTGGGTATTAGATGTGTTTTAAGCCCATAGTTTCTGCGGAACATGCCGCTAACTACATGCACCTGAAACAAAAATGAAGTAACAGAATGAAAATAATATGTAAAATAAGACCTAAAAAAAGCACTTGAAAGTATCCATAACATTTCAATGAACATTATACTGTTCTGGTGAGTAGTTTGAGTGAGCACATTACTTACTTGTCCATGACCAATAACCAGTTCCAGTTTTAACAGATGAAGTTGTGAGGGTACGTTAAATAATCACCTAAAGTGTGGTGGAGGTAGGTCAATGTGTTCAAAAGGACGTTAGACTGTTATTTGAAAAGGAACAAAGTGCAGGGTTACAGGGAGAAGGACATTAAGTGAAACATTCATTCAAACAAATACAGCACAGTCACAGTGGACCAAATGGCCTCCCTCTGCCCTGTAATAATCCTGTGATTCTGTTAAACCTGGTGAGAACTTGATCATTACATTCAGCTTTAACCTGTTGCCGGAGACAACAATGGCATAAGGGCCTCTGGCCTGTAAGACAGATTTTAATTGCCCTGTTCCAAGCCTCGCAGAAGCACAATGCTGTCCCTACAGGGAACAACACCTGCACCAGTCTCCCAACATTCCCAGCCCTCACCTTTCTGTTCTTGGTCCCTGTTTTGCAGTGCTTACCTGGAATCAGTGAGTGGCTTGGGCTACTCCACTAAGCCCTGCAGGTAGTGTAATGTCAATGAGTCCAAGTGGCTAAAAACACCAGACCGTCTGCCGAATAAGAAATTAACTCTCAGGAGCCTATTCCCACTGGTTTCCTGCTCCTTTTTAATACCCACCCTTTATTTGACAATGCAACAAGGGCGTGTTAACTGAGTAATCTTTTGCAGGCATGCTCTTACGCATCTCCCAGGTGTAGGTTTGGCCAAACGTGATCCACGTGTCCACTTCCTCCTGCTTTGGTCCACAGAAGCCGATTGAGGTCTGATATACTCGGAGGCTCATATTCGTCTTTCCTCTGTGTTAAACCAGACCGTGATACAAGGGTGTCCATTTCTGAAATTGCAAGGTTTTGTTATTATTTCTTTTAAAAGTTGTACTTCTGTGTTGCTATTGACTCTTTTCACTGTTTTTAAAGCATAATGATTGTAAAATGAAGGATAGAAACTGAAATGAGTGGTTGAGTCAGTTTGAGAGTCCTTGTGTGTTTCACTTACTATAATTCATTGTAAATTTGCTGTGCAAATTCTGCAATCAGATATGTCACTGCAGAATTAGACTCTCAGTTTTCTTATTGATACATTCCCTTGATTAAGGCCAGATAGTCAGGCTGTTGAATTTTTCGGGCTAAAGTTTTGGATATCTTTTGCTGCCAGTTGGTGGATATTTACAATTTAATTCTTTGGATTTCCCACATTGTGTGAACATTTTAAAACTCAGGGATGTAACTGACTGGATTTTCCACCTCGAATTCCATGGCACGGCAGGATGCCAGGAATGGGAGATGGCTGATTGAACACAGCGTGTGACCTGCCCAGAAACAGAAATTGCTGGAGAATCTCAGCAGGTCTGGCATCCTCTGTGGAGAGAAAGTAGAGTTAACATTTCAAGTTCAGTGATCGGAATGGGCCTGACCACCCTGACTTGTCATCCCTTTCACTGATGGGTGGAGGCAGTGATCTAACCCTGGAGCTTAAGAGACCGTTATGTAGAAAATTACTGGCCATATAAATACCTTGTGCCAAATCTCTCTATTATTTTATCTACCTAGTTGGATAGCCTGGCACATTTTACTGGGTGAGACAAGAAGGAGTAGGGACTTCCTTTGGTAGGTTCTCTGCTCCCATGGAAGTCAAACTACCCAACCTCCCATCCCCAGCCTTTCATACCCAGACCCACCAATACCCTAAAGGGCTGACCTACACCTAACCTCTATTCCCATGTCTTTGCTTCATACCTTTGATTCCTGTATCTAACATATATCCACCAATTTTGGACTTGGAAATCCAGTTCACTCAACATCTCTCCTAGTCTTCGGGGGAACAGGGTTCCCAGATTTCCATTGATCTTTATATGAAAAATACATTTCCTAAAATCAGTCCTCAGTAGTGTTGGTTTAATTTTGAGATCGTGTCATCTTACTCTGGTTTCTGCAGCAGGGGAAGTAGTTTTGCTGTACCTAACTGGTGGGTGGCACAGTGGCTGAAGTGTTAGCACTGCTGCCTCACAGCACCAGGGACTTGGGTTCGATTCCACCCTCAGCTGCCTGACTGTGTGGAGTTTGCACAGTCTCCCCGTGTCTGCGTGGGTTTCCTCCAGGTGCTCTGGTTTCCTCCCACAGTCCAAAGATGTGCAGGTTCAGTGGATGGGTCATGTCAAATTGTCCTGTTGTATCCAGGGATGTATAGGTTAGGTGGATTGACTATGGAAAATGCAGCATTGCAGAAATAGGATCTAGGTGGGATGCTTCTCGAAGGGGCAGTGTGGACTTGATGGGCTAAATGGCCTGCTTCAACACTGTAAGGGATTTTATGATTCTAACCTTAAAGTACTCTCACCACACAGAGTCTTTCTCTCTAGGCACAAGCCTAGACCCAAAGATAGACAACATGTATAGTCTTCCAAAAATTTTTAGACATCTTTTAATGCCTTACTGCCTTACTTTATATGGACAATGGTCCAGATTCTGAAATAGTATTTGATTCATGTATGCCAGCAGAAAAATATGCATCAAGTTCCTTTACTTCAGCTTGAGCTCTGTATATTTTTTAACTATTTTCTTATCAGTCATTCACACCCACAGATGGAAGAAAAAGACAAGCCAGAGTACAAGATATTCCATTATATCTGCATTGCTGCCCTGGTATTGGATAGCAATGATGGTAATTAAAGCACAATGAAATCAAATCCATTTGTCTTGACCTTCTGCTGCCAGGAAGATCAATGAGGACATTAACCTATATCCTTCTGTTTAGATCCCCTGTCTGAACAAGGCTATGCCAGTTATTAATGAACTAAACTATCAATATCAGATTATTTAGTTCAAGCAGCTTTTTGTTATTAAACATACATTCATTGTTGTGAAAACCATTGAACAGAACTTTCAAAACAAAATCAAAGAACTGCAGATATTGGAAGTCAGAAACAAAAGCAACAATTGCTGGAAAAACCCAGCAGGTCTGGCAGCATCTGTGGAGAGAAAGCAGAGTTAACATTTCAAGTCCGGGTTCTGAAGAATGGTCACTGGACCCAAAACATTAACTCTGCTTTCTCTCCACAGATGCGGCCAGACCTGCTCAGTTTTTCCAGCCAGCTTTGTTTTTGAACAGACTTTTAATGTTGAATGTTATCCCAGAAGTGTCTCTTGTTGGATGTCGTATCCCAATTGTTGAAGTTACTCTGGCTGCAAGTATGAATCCTGTTGATGAAACACACTGATCGAAAGCTGGGCAGATACTTGTCTGAACATGACATCTACTTAGCACAATGATCATCAGAGAAGAAAAAGAATGTAACTTCAGAGATGCACTCTCAAACTACATTGAAAAATTTCTTAACTACAACTTGCTTCTATTTACTGCATGTGCACCTTTAGAATTGTGGTCAATTGCAGCATTTCCCATGTGGATAAACTCACTGTCAGAAATCAGTGATCGTTTTTCTAGGCCTTTTGGTTAAACAAAATATAAGCAACATTAAAATTTGTCAAAGGAGAACTTATGGAAACCATACCAGTTACTTGTTAATGAAGAAAGGTTACCAAACTGAATATTTGCTTACATCAGTCATTTTCTTTAAACTCTATTATGCACTTAGAGTGGTTAAACAGCTAGTAAAATTACTGAAAAATTCTTCTCTTCCTACAGGTATGTTCTGTTTTCCTTTGGTCGTATGTACAGACATTAACTTTTATATTACTTTTTGTCCAGTGAGCTATCATCTGGTGACAGCCCAGTTATATCTGGACATTCACATAGATGTAAATCTGCAATCTAATGCCTTGTGATAGCCCATCATAGCATTAAACCATGCACCATTCAGCATTTACTAACTTATTTTAATCTTTTCTCTTGTAGGGACACACGTTTACTGCCACATTTGACCATTTAGCAACAATTACTGTCTATCAGAAGGCAACATAACTCATTGTCTGTTAAAAGCTTTGAGATGCAAAAATAAGGAACAGCCTTTGGCCAAAGTTGGAAAAGATCAATTGCACTTAGTTTTCTAGCTGCAGACCATCCAACATTTGTTCCAGTAAAAATAACTGTCTGCTTCTGAACCATTCCTGTCAGCCAGCAAGAACAGTTTTAAACTGACACGAACATTGTCTCTCTCCCCATTATGCAATTTGTGGAACTTACCGTCTTTAATTCTTACGGTGAATTTGTTTCACGGGCTCTTCCTTCCTGTCCCTACTCCATTCCCCAGTTACTAAGCGATGCTCTGTGCCCTTCTCCCCTATCAGTTTACTAAGCAAAACATATGACTGTCTCTGTTCGCACTGTCATTCCCTAAACTGCGCAACTTCTCGGGTTTCTGGCATTGTGTCAGACTGGGTTACTGCCAGACAACGTGACCAATGGCTGATTACCCCAGGCTGGCAGATACATGGGAGCCTTTAAATTCCCTCTCATTGCATTTCTCCAAACTTCCATTACGTTAGAAGGCAGGAGGAAAAAATGTGTTGGAAAATCTTTTTCACGTACCACACAGATATCTCATTTACATAACAAAGGCATTACAAACAACCGACATAATAATATACTTTATTCCATTACGTTGTGAGTTACAAACAATTTTTTAAAAAGTGTTAAATATTATGGAAGGGTTACAATTAGAGAAATTAGCTGTGATGGAAAATCACAAACTATTTCTTCAGGTAGAAAATTCCTTTAACAAACAATTAATATGATCATTCAATTGGAACAATGGTAACGGCTATCCAAATAGTGCAAATTATTCCCTAATTTCTAACCTTTTCTTTAATATTGCGATGTCACTACACAGAATCATTGACGATAAATTGTATTTCAATTTTGATTATTTGAAAAATCACAACCATCTCTTAACCCTTTGTCCCAGATGGATAGCATGAGGTGGTTCAGAAGTCCAATAGTGAAAACGGGACAATCAGAGAAATTGCCTGCAAGTTACTGCAGTCGTTTCTCACTTCGAATTGAAGGAAACCTGAAATCAGAATACAAATGTTGTCCAGTTGCTTGCAGAATTGTGCGACTTTTCCTGGGTGGACTTTGTCTGGTGTTGGGAAATAAGAAATGAGAGCTGCTAACATTGTGGATCAATGTATATTTCCAAAAGTGAAAACAGCTGGGTAGATCATAGGGACTGTATGATCTTTTTATTGTATTAATCTTACAGGGCACATTCGCAGTGCAAAGGGATGCACATAATATTTTTGGAGTAGGCTGTTGCATTACTTCAGTAAATGGCCCAAAAGGATTGCAATATCCCTCTGCAGTTAGAAAATATTTCAAACCTTGAGCAAGAGGCAATAACACAGCATTAGCTGGTTGTCCTCAGCAATATGCTGCACCTTTGGTGGACTGTAGTTTCTTCTCTTCATTTAGCTTTATGTGTAATTTGTGTAATTGTTCCAGAAAAGCCCGGTTGGGTGAAACAGGCCTGTATAAAATGAGACAACAAGGTGCAAGGCTGGATGAACACAGCAGGCCAAGCAGCA